AACTTTAGATTTCAACTCAGGTCATGATCTCAGGGTCATGAGATTGAGCCATGTGGTGGGCTCTACTTAAGGCTTGCAGCCTGCTTAAGATTCTCTCTATCCCTCTGCCTCTCCCCACCCCTTGTGCATGCGCTCTCTCTCTCTGAAAGAAAGAAAGAGAAGAAAGAAAGAAAGAAAACAAAAAGAAAGATCTGGTTTTGCATGCTGGCTGTATCCTATACATGAGCTGTGTGATCTGGGCAACTTACTCACTTCCTCTGAGCTGTGGTTTCTGTATCTGTGAGATGTGACACTATTCCCTATTCATAAATTTGTTTGTGAATTAAATAAGATAATTTATGCAATTCTGACAAAGAGTAAATGCTCAATAAATGACAGCAAGTATTATTAGCTAACAATATTAAAGCAAAACTAGGGGAATCTAAAAGAATCAATAGTGACCATAATGATAAAATAGTTTCTCCCAGTCTCAGAAGCTTAAGTAAGCATTATGAAGTGACAAATCTCAATCAATCCTTGACTGAATTTTTCTAGTAAATGTGGGAAGTGAAGAAATTTTATGTTGATGGTTACAGGGAGAGTCATATTTTAGATACCAGCTTGTAGGGAGCAAATTTGTTCTGCCATGAAAAAGATCCCAACTCATATTCTTACCCAGACAGAATTTTCACTCAGCTGATTAGAAGTGCAGACAGCAGGTGTGCTTGTGGATATTACCAAACTCTTATAAAAAATGTCAGTAAGTACTTGACTGAGAGTCCTACATCTTATGCCACATAAAAAGAGAGCCGCAGAACACATGGCATCCTGGACTGCCAAATCAGTCAGGCAAAAGCTGCAACTCCCAAACCACTGAATGAGTTTAGATATTTTTGAGTCTGCCCAAGGGTTCTGCTAAAGTGTTGCAACTGCCTACAGGTACAGCTCTTTGACTTCCGGGGTTAAGGCCACCAAAGACCTTTGACATCAACTACCCACTAGGTGTGTGATCATTTCTTAGGATGGCTTTTGCTACAAGAAACAGAATAATATCAATGGCGTAGAGGAATGCTCATCTTTCTGTTTTTTATAGTAGGAAAGTATTTATTCAAATCACCTATAAATCATTACAATGAAATGGGTCTAGGATACAGTTTTTATTCCTACCTATATTCTCAGTATGATGGAATAAAGCATTATAGTGATGATAAAGGAATACATGTTTCTTAGATTTGCAAACAGATTATGGAGGAAAGCTGAGATAGTTCAAAGCACTGATCGATCTACAGTTGAGGAGTGAGAACAGATCACACCTTGATTCCATACCTGTATGGTTCATTAGAATAAACAGTTACATAATTTTATTTCCTATCCTGCATTTAGGACAGAAAATGAAAAATTCTATAGGGCACCTGGGTGGCTCAGTCGGTTAAGTGTCTGCCTTCGCCTCAGGTCATGATCTCAGGGTCCTGGGATTGAGCCCCATGTCAGGCTCCCTGCTCAGTGAGGAGTCTGCTTCTTCCTCTCCCTCTGCCCCACCTCCTGCTCGTGCTCCCTCTCTCTTCCTCTCTCTCCCTCAAATAAATAAATAAAATCTTTAAAAAAATTCTAATACCTAGAGACTTTGCTGGCGTTTTTCTTTGGATGAAAGTAGTTGATTAGATCATCTAGAGCTCTGGTGTCTAATTTAATAACCACCAGCCACAGGTGGCTATCTACATTAAAAGTAATTAAAAGGAGTTAAAGTTAAATAAAATTACAATGTCAGTTCCTCTATCACACTAGCCATATTTCAAGTGTTCAAGAGCTACTCTGTGGCTAATGGCTGCCATATTGAACAGTACAGATATGGAACATTCCCATTGCAGGAAGTTTTATTGGACTGTACTACTCTAGAATGATTAAAATTACTGGCTGTAAGTTTGGGATGGTGCCTAGAACTTTACAAAATACGAACATCATTCTATGGTGGTAGAGTTGTCCAGCTATCAATGGAAATGTATACTTTTGTAATTCCTCTTGCAGATGTCATGCAACAAATGATTTTGTCTGGACAGCTGGGAATAGTTTCTCATTCCAAAAATAATGCTATGTTTCCAGGGTCTCTATGAAAACCTATTCTAGGTTTTATATTTTTTTTTAATCTACATAACACTTCTATGAGATAGGTATGGTTTTCAAAATGCAGGTGTGAAGCTAAGAGTGATTCATTGACTTTTCCCAACTGATTTGGCTGGTAAGGGGAAAATAAGAATTCAAGCTTAGCCACTTTAGATTCTTGAGCCAGATTCTCACACTTAGTAGCTGTGTGACCTTGAGCAAACAACTTAACTTCTTTATGCCTCAGTTTCTTCATCTGTAAAGGGAGAGTGATAATAATGGTAGTCAGCTCAAAGGGCTGTGGAAATCAGGTAGACATATATGAAGTATTTGTAACAGTCCTTGGCACATGGTAAGCTCAATAAATGTTTGCCATTATTATCTAATGCAGTGTTTTTAAAAAAGAGATTGAGAAAAAGGTTTTAATAGTTTCAACTGCTAATTATTCATAACCAGGTTGAAAAACTCTTTTTAATGGTATCTGTTTTTCAAGCTCTCCAACACAGAGATTGGATGGCCAGGATTTCCTTCATGTCTACCCTGGAAAGGTGGGCTGGCATCAGCCAATATACCGAGGTATCACAAAAAAGGGATAAAAACTCTTCTCCGAAAAGCCTGAACGTAATAGCAGAAAATCCTCAGAGCTCAGGAGTTTACCCAAAACCTAGACAGAGTCTATTTTCATTTTACCTTCTTTTGGAGAATGCAAGAAAGGGACACAGGATTGGGAACTTTGGGTAGAAAGAATATTGTCAGGGGCGCCTGGGTGGCTCAGTCGGTTAAGCGTCTGCCTTTGGCTCAGATCATGATCCCAGGGTCCTAGGATGGAGCCCCGCGTCAGGCTTCCTGCTTAGTGGGGAGTCTGCTTCTCTTTTTTCTCTCTTTCTCTCTCTCTCTCTGCCTCTCCCCCTGCTTGTGTTCTCTCTCTCCCTCTCTCAAAGTAATAAAAAAAATCTTAAAAAAAAAAAAGAAAGAAAGAATATTGTCAGATAAGGGACCATGTGAGTACCGCGGTCAAATGCAAAGCTTACTTAGGGTATTAATTTTACAGTTCTGAATCTCGGAAGATTCTAGGAGAGCTTTTCTCATTGGCTCCTGAGAGGTAGGATTCAGAATTCATAAACGTAGGGAACCTGATGGGTTATGGGGGCAATATTTTTCATGAACTGGGTCAGAAAAGCAGAATGTCAGAGCTGAGCACCCCTTCACCACTCAGGACAGAAGACTGCATTTTATACCTGCCTAGAAGATTGAAACAAACTATGCCTGCACAGTCCTAATGGTGGTGGACACATGCACACACACACACACACACAGGCAATAGCAATAGCCCAAGCCTCAGGGAAGAGGGAACAAATCAAGTTCCAATAGCAGGGAAACAACCTCCCCCCAAATCCAAAACATACCCACCAAATAAATATCCGGGCCTCCTCCTTTTCTTCTCCTTAGAAGTACTGTAGCTGTGGCCTTCTGGAGTCAATTATTTGGTTCAACTCTTAAGAGTAATTCTAGGGATGGGGGATGGTGATAGATTTTGGGCTCAGCAGAAATGGAATAGCCTCTTGCAGTAGACTGGTGGAGGAGAGGGAGAATTTCACAAGTGGAAATCATTTGGCAAATCTAAAGCAGCATTTCATTTTCATGTAGGGCTAGTCCTCATCATCCCATCCCTTCTGCAGACCTAGGTGTTGCAGGCAAGAGGACAGGAAGATAGGATCAAAGGCACAGGCTAGGGCGCCTGGGTGGCTCAGTTGGTTAAGCGACTGCCTTCGGCTCAGGTCGTGATCCTGGAGTCCCGGGATCGAGTCCCGCATCGGGCTCCCTGCTCAGTGGGGGGTCTGCTTCTCCCTCTGACCCTCCCCCCTCTCATGTACTCTCTCTCTCTCTCAGTCTGTCTCAAATAAATAAATAAAATCTTTATAAAAAAAAGGCACAGGCTATTAGCAAAGAAACCATTTCTTATTAAACAGCCTCATTTAATTTAAGTCAGATAGAATTTAGGAACAAAAACCAAATTGTATTTTCTCCTTATTGCCTTTCCAGTTTTCTCTAAAACTCTTACCACTTTTTAAAATTAAGATGATTTCTACTGTCTCTCTAAATTGACCTGTATTTTGTTTATAAAACAGTGATAAGCTTCTAAATGTTTGATATGTGCCAGGCCCCGTGCACAGCACTCAAGCATGATTTCAGTTCATCTTCACGGACCTTGAGCAGGATTGCTAGTTAGCGGCGGAACCAGGGTTACAGACGCTCGTTGCTCCGCCCTTTAACCAGGTGTTGCATCGGTGTACTATTGTGCACTGTGTATGGTGGGTAATGCTAGCAAAGAGCACATCTGCCCCCCCCCGCCCCCGATTACTAGCCACACTGAGGCCCCTACTATAAAGAACAGAAAAGTTTGCGTTTGAGGTTTTTCTTTTGAACTCTGTCAGCATGGGGTCACTCCCTATCATTTTCAGTTCAAACAGGACTCACACCATCTGGGGACGCGCGCGCACACACACACACACACACACACACTTTGATCTTGGTCTCCACCTAAAATTCCTTGATAGGGTACAGCTGCCTCTGCACAAATGTCTGCAGAAAGATGAATAGGGGATGGGAATCACGTTTTCTATGGTCTCGGCTTTATTTTTTCCCTACATTCCATCGCAGCCTATATAGTTGTTTCAGGTTTTAGTTAAAGTTGGCGTTACTAAAAGAAATTATAGGAGTCAAGAGAAAATAATTTTAAACTGTATGCTAAATAAAACTTTTCCCATAGTCTAGAACAGAGGTTGGAGAACTTTTTCTGTAAATGGCCATAGAGTAAATAGTTTAGGCTTTGAAGAGTTTGCCTCTTTTGCAACAACTCAACCCTGCTGTTGCAGGGAAAACAGCCATAAATGTTACGCAAACAAATAGACTTGGCTGTGTTCCAATAAAACTTTATTTACAAAAATAGGGTTTGGGCTAGGTTTGGCCTGTGAACTAAAATTTGCCGACCCACAGTCTAGTGCAGTACTGCCCAAGAGAAACACAATGCAAGCCACAAACGTGATTTTAAAGTTTTTAGTAGTCACATTTTAAAAAGTAAAAAGAAACAGGTAATACAGAATAATACATTTATTCAACCCAATATAGCCAAAATATTATCATTTCAACATGTAATTAGCATTCAAAAATATTAATGAAGCATCTTCAGTTCTTTCTTTGTGTTGCCTTTGGAATCTGATGTGTATTTTCACATTTAAAGCACATCTTAATTCAGCCTAGCCACATTTTGGTGCTCAGTAGCTACCTGAAGTAGTAGCTGCTGCATTGGATGAGGCAGCTCTAGACTCTGTAGGTATCTCTGGTTACTCACCTGGTTTCCCTTTTCTTTTTTTTTAAAGATTTTATTTATTTATTTGACAGAGAGAGACACAGTGAGAGAGGGAACACAAGCAGGGGGAGTGGGAGAGGGAGAAGCAGGCTCCCCGCTGAGCAAGGAGTCCGACGTGGGACTCGATCCCAGGACCCCGGGATCATGACCTGAGCCGAAGGCAGTTGCTTAACCAACTGAGCCACCCAGGCGCCCCTGGTTTCCCTTTTCTTAGGTTTATCTATCTGCATACTCTTTCTTTATCCACACAACCTGTCCCAGCATCCTTAATCCTTCCCCTGAGTTTGACTTATTTCCTACAGAGTAGCATTCAGGCATTGCTTCCGGCTGCCCATGGTAGCCTTTGTCACTCCAAGTCCTACAGAACTGTGCGTATGTCTGCAGGTTGGGTTGGTGGCTGTCTTAGTCAGTTTAGGCTGCTATAACAAAAATGCCATAGGCCATTTGGCTTCAACAACAAACATTCATTTCCCACAGTTCTGGAGACTGAGAAGTCCAAGAGAGGGTGCCACCAGATTCAGTGTCTGATGAGAACTAGCTTCCTGCTTCATAGGCTGCCATTTTATTTCTGTGTCCTCACATGGCAGAGGGGGTGAGGGATCTCTCTGGAGTCACTTTTATAAAGGCATTGATCTCATCCATGAGAGCTCCATCCTCATGACCTAATCACCTCCCAAAAGCCCCACCTCCAAATACCATCACCTTAGGGGTTAGGTTTCAACATACAAATTCCAAAGGGACACAAACATTCCGTCCATAGTGGTCTCCCCAGAGAATCACCCAGCAACCCAAGTTCTACAGGACAGCCAGAATATGTGTGCACACTCCACATCTGTTACCGTGTGGGGTTTCCCATCAGAATGAATTCTAGATCCTCCTCTTTACTTTTTTGTCCAGTTATCCAGAAAGGAACTATTGGATCTGGAGTCTCTCTGTCTCTCTTCTCTCTCTCTCTCTCTCTCTCTGTCTTGGTCTTCCTGTGTCTCTTACTATGTCTCATCTTGTGCAGAAGGCTAAGGAATTTAGTCTAGGAGGGCAGCCATGTACCTAGAAAGGAAAGGAGAATGAATTTTAGTGGGTAAATAATAGTCTCCACCAAGGGATATTTTCCTTCCCAGGCTGACTGGGCTGTGAGTGTGGGGATCATTCTTCTAATTTCAGCTTCGTTATCTTATACAATGATTTTAACAGTCCTGTGGGATCAAAAGTTTTTATTTCCATTTTACAGATGAGAGAATCAAGGCATTAGGTTATGCAACTTCCACAGATTATTGTTCCTTGTTATAGTATAGTCTTCCTTTTATTATGATTATTTGGGCTATATCCCCAACTAGATCATAACATCATGTTCTCAACATTACAAAATCCAACATCTAGACATAGCAATTGCTTAATAAAGCTTTGCTAATTGAGTAACTAAATTAATGACGAATGTGTATTTATGTGCTGATGCTAGAAACTAATAGAAGCAGACTTCTTGCTACACAGGTAAATTATTTTGATAAGAACTAATATTTTAAAATTCAGATACTCAAGAAAACTACTTAGGAGTATCAAGGATGGCTGCTAATTTCTTCTACAATGCTGACTCATGGAATCGTGTTTATTTAATTAGCGCATCAATCCAACATTTAAAAAAAAACTACTCAAAAAGTGAATTTTTTAACAGTTCAGGCAAATGATTTATATATATAAAATTCACTTGATTAAAAGATAAAGCTTGTTGTAGGTAAGGTCCATCTTTAGATTAGAACAAGAAAAAAGGAAGAAAACTAACACTTACCGAGTAAATTGTGTGATAGGCCCTTTATATAGCCCTCACAAAACCCTATTAGGTAAAAAGGATATAAGCATTCATATATGCAGACGAAGAGGCAAAACTTTTGTCGGGGAGGAAAAACTTTACTCTCTTAGGTTCAGCACATGGTGGCCTGTGAATTAAACTAGAAAAAGACAGATTAACAGGTGAATATGCAGACAATTTTTATTAATATTTACATGCACAGGAGTTTACAGCAAAACTCTCAAGGAAGCAGTTATACTTGGGAACTTTTATACCCTTCTTAACTAAGGGAAGAGAATTTTGGCTTCAAGGGATGATAAATTGTGGGGAAATATGTAGGGAAAATAATGGAAGATAAGGGCTATTTTAGTAAGGTCTGTTTATGCAAACTCATCTTGGTATTAGCTCCCTATCTTTGATGATAGGAGCCATTCTCCTCTCATTGATGCAGGAGGGGCACCTTCCTCAAAGGGAAATTTATGTCCTGGATTTTAGGCAATCAGGGAAGGGCAGGGAACTCTTCCTGCATCTGTTGGCTTTGCTTTCAATTGCCTTTTACTCAAAATAATCCCTATGTCAAAGTGGAGTATTTGGGGGTAGCATATTCTGATCCCCTTCAAGATTCAGAAAGATTAAATTATTTGTCCAGGTTTACTCAGTTACTGTATAGAGGACTCTGGGATTTAAATCTACCTCTGCCTGCCTCTACAGCATCTGCTTTTCAAATGTAAACATTCAGAAAAACAGTCTGGTTTTCCTATTCTATGTAATATTATTGAAATAATAACTTTATCCCAAGTAACTACTATATCTTTTAACATAGCATGATGCTTGTTTAAAATATTTTTATGAGATACCTTATTTGATCCTCCAGGTTGGTAGAAAGGCAGGACTTGCTGAACTGGTTTTACAGATGAAGAATCTAAGCTTATAAAGAATGTAGTGACTTGACCATGGCCAAGCAACCAGTTGGTAACATTGTTGCAACCATATTTGAGGTCTTCTGAATCCCTGCACAGTGCCTTTTTGGGCTATTTCATTATTGTCTCTTCCCTAACTGCCCACCCAATGAATTTAAACAGGATTATTCCTTTTAACCACAGACCTCTGAGGCATAGCCTCCCAGGGTATATGAAGGTCGCTGTTCTGAAATCATATGCTCTGGGTCCAGGTTTAGTCATTTGCTAGCTGTGTGAGGATAACAGGAGATGCTTTGTAGGATGACCTTGAAAGGAGGTAAGGCAGTAGGGAGTATTATGAGTGGCTTCCATTTCTCTGGCCTCAGGCTTCAGTGTGGAAGAACCTCCACCAGAAAAACTTGCTTTGCTCTTTCCTCTGGATTGTTTATCCCCAGGGCAGAAGGAGTGATCTAGCTGACTGGGGAGTCTGGGAGGAAGTACTGGGCAAGCCAAGCCCAGTCCCCTCTTGGGCTCCATTTTCTTCAGAACTTGTCATGCCAGGTCTGCATTCTGCCTTGCTAAAGGTGTGGAAGGGCCTGTGACTGCCAGGGAGGCCTGTGTTAGTCAGAGGTGAAGTATGAGCAGAGCCAGCCATCTGCTGCAGATATAAAACTATGTTCTCCAGCCTACCTTCTCTGTAAGAAGGGAACTATTTTGATGTCCACTTGCTTGCCTCTTCCATCTCTCTTTCAATTGGTTCTAACTCAGGCAGGGAAAATGGGTTTTATTTACTGCCTCCCTGGAAACCCAAATAGACAGGTTCCTTTACTTTCTTTGTTCATAGACAAAGGGGTCCTAAATTCACTGTAAAATTATGTCTGAGCAAAGTTATAAATAATTTGTGATGTGTGAACCAAGTTTTAACTTGTAAGTGTGAAAAATGCTTTTATGTAATTGTTAAATCTAAATGGGTATTGCTTTCCCACAAAATCACAGTTTTTGTTATTGGTGGTTCTGCTGAAATCTGGCATTTCAGAAGTTTCAAAATGTCTTAAGAGCATACCGGATACAAAGAAAGAATACCCAAAGAAACAGAACTATAATTAGTACGCTAACAAAATATCACAGAAATTGGGGGAAAAATGGAAGTAAAATACTCTGCCTTTTAAATTAGAGCCATCGAAGTGGTCCGCAGTAGGAAAGTGCTGGGATGCTCCTCTAGTGCTAATTTTTGATACAAGAAAGTCATAGCCCACTTGGGCCTTAAAAAATTATTCTTTGAACTTAGTAATAGTATCTCTTCTTACTGATGTCTGAGATACCTTCTACCGAAGGAAATCAGTACACTGACTCTTGACAAGATTAGATTGAGAGATGTTGCCTGATTGCCCTTCCTCCTTTGGCATCTCAGATACTAGTCTCCTCTGCCATTCCTCCTACTACAGGTCTTTCTTGCTGACCCTTTATCTTCTGCCAACTTTTTAAATGCTGGAGTTCCTGGTCCTCTTATCTACCTTTTCCATGGGCATCTGCATCTGCGTGCCTTGTGTTGAAGATTTCTAAATCCATACTTGCCTCCCACACGATTCTCCTGAACTACCCATTTGAATTCCTAACTGCCGGAGCCATCAGAGCTATCTCAAACACAGAATGTGCAGAACTAAACTCAGTTTGTGCACTCCTGCTCCCACATTGGCAGATTTCATATGAAAGTCGGTTTCTCTGGACCAGCTGGAAAATCTGATAATACCGAAGCCGTGGGGCAACAACTGGCTGGAGCCGAGGAGTAGCTGCCTCTGGGCTCCTGTTGCGCACAGTCCTTTCCACTCCTGGTTGACTTCACACGATCCATCCCTGGCCTGGCAGCGGCGGATGTTCGAGTTGGTGACCACTGATCTGGTCATACTAGACCATTTGTCGTATTAAGAAATGGATTCAAGAACCAGATAGCATCCCTCTTTTCTATTCAGGCTGGAAATACCGGATTTTATTGAATCCTGGCTCTACCAGTTACCAGATTAATTGCAACTTTGCTGAAGTTACTTACCCTCTCTGTATCTCAGTGACCTCATCTATAAAATAGTGCTAATAAGTAGCTACCTCACAGGGCTGTTGTGAGAGATAAATGAGCTAAAGCATGAAGGCAACTGAGAACAATGCCCAACACATATGGAACCATAGTGTCTGCTGCCTCAGCCCCGACTGTTTGTTACTCTCTCTTGGATTTTTGTGACCTATTTTTCAAAACTGCTTTTAAAAGAGATTGTTTTATAAGATGTTGGAAAATAGATTTAATCTGGTTCAGGACCTGTAAAGAATACAACCTTGATGCTTGAGACTATGTAAATGCACCTTCTTCATTACTAAGAAGTCTCGTTTCTGGAGTTAAATAGAGGTTCAGTTTGACACCTGAAGTATGTGAGAGTGATAGGCCCAAACTGAATGGACAAATACTTGGTACCAACACATTACACGACTTGGCTGGAGTTTTTCTGTATATGAAATCCATGCTCAAAGGTGGAAGTCATTGTTTGAATGCTTTTGTATTCCATAACTGTATTTCTCAAATGACCTTGAACAACTAGACCAAAACATCTTCGACATGGTCGTTCTCTTGCCAGAAATACTGTCCTGCTCTTATCACACAGCAAATTCTTACCTCCCCTTCAAGATTTGGTTTCAGATGTCACTTCTGTGACATCTTTTCTGGTACTTACTTCTCTATTATTAGCACTTACAATTGAATTGTAGCTGCTTGGTTACTTGTCTGTTTCTTTCAGAGTGAATTCCTTGAATTCTGGGACATCTTATGCATTTAACTAGAAAAGAGGTAATTACAGGCTTGGACTCTGGTGCCAGGCTCTGCAGATGTAAATCCAGACCCTGCCACTTAAGGGCTGTGTGGCCTTGGACAGATCCTGGATGTCTCTGGACCTGAATTTCCTCATCTAGAACATAGGGATAGATAGAGTGGTATCTTGTAGGGTTGTTATGAGGATTAAATGAGCTAAGAGTTGTAAATCTTTACAGAACAGTATGGGGCACATAGAAGACACTCAGTAAAGGTTAGCGATTACTATTATTGTTACTGTTGACTTGATTTTTCCTTAATTTATTTCCATATTTTATCTCCAGTGTCCTGCAGTTGTTCAAATTTACTCTGCTACAACTGACGAAAATCTAATTTTACTGCTCTTTGCTTCCTCTAGCTTCAAGAACTAACTTTTCAAAATATGAATCACAGTTTGATTCTGCAGAGATAAAATATTGAGAAATGAAAGATATTGAATGTCTAGTATTGGCAAAAGATGCATAGCCACATTCCACGTCTTATTTTTTTGTTTTTTTTTTCTTTTTAAAGTTTATCTTGTAACTCCTCCTAACTCCCAGATAAGGCCTTTCTAGGTCAATAAATTGATTCCCTTTTACTTCTATACTACATTTTATTCCCTTCTACCCCCCCATTATAATGTGTTTAATATATATCCATTTAATATTAATTCCTGCTTCATCCTATCAGGGAGTACTTGATATTAACATGACTTATAACTGATGATGTTAACCTTGATCATTTTAGTTAAAGTGATATTTGTCAGGTTTCTCTACTATAAAGCTAATATTTTTCCCTTTCCTTACTCTTCTTTGGAAGTGAATCATTAAATCCAATCCTCAGCCAAGGGGGGGAGAGAAGTAACCTTCACCTCCTGGAGTGGGGAATATCTACACATATTCTTTGGATTCTTCTATGAGGAGGATTTGTCCCTTCTCCACTATTTATTTTGCATCCAATAATTTTTTTTTGAAGGGAGGGTATGGCAGAAGGGGAGGGAGAGAGAGAATCTTAACCAGGCTCCACAGCCAGCGCTGAGCCCCATGTAGGGCTCGATCTCACAACCCTGAGATCATGACCTGAGCTGAAATCAAAACTCAGATGCTTAACCCACTGAGCCACCCAGGCGCCTCCACACTCAATAATTTTTATATCAATACGGACTCATGGATATTTATTTTATTCCTTGGGTTATAATCCAATCCTATCATTATTTTGCTACTGAATTATTCCAGCTTTGGCCATTGGGGGCCATTGGGAGCTCTTTCAGATTGACTTCTGTGTCCTTGTGATATGCCCCCATCACTTTTACGTTTATTCAAACGTATAGTAATATAAGATGTTCTAGACTTACCTTGTATTTTCCCTCCTCCAGCCCTAGAATCAGCTATATCTCCTTCTCTTGGAAAAATGGTAATTAGAAATCAAAAT